TCCATGAATTGAGGGAGGAGGGAGGGGGTAAGATCTCTGGGCTATGACTTTCCTCATGACAAAAAATGGCTGAGAAGAAAATGGATGTTGCATACAGCTTTCATGTGCCTAATGTACATAACCATTACAAATAGGATATACTTCCCTATCTATTTACTAATGGTAGCAGCAGAAGAATTAAAAATAGTCAATGTTGAGTGAGAGAGTGAAGTTCCACTTTGAAGAAGAACAAACAATAAAAATTGTGTTTAATGAAACCTTTGTAAGACCGGTTTCATTTTGCATTCAAACTGCAAAGTATCTTTATTGGTTTTTATAAAAATATACAATTACATACAAAAGTACATAATTAAATGAGTAAAGTTTGGTACACAAATAAATGATTTTTTTTTTTTTTACTGTACTTCTACTAAAAGTTCTAATATAAGATGCACAAAACAAATTATCCTGCCTTTCTTAGTACATAACACTGCAGCTCAGGCTTGGCTCCAAGAAAATAAACTGCGTTCTGATTGGAATAAGATTTACTGACATACAGTAGAGATATTAGTAATCGCTATTAACCCCCTACCCATTTAAAAAAAAAAAAACAAAAAAACCTAAGGCTTTCCCCATTGACCTGTCATTGGAATGAAATTGCAGCGAGTGCTTCAGTATCGCTTTAAGGCATCAAATACCTAATCGTACACCCGTGCAAAGGGCTGTCTGCACCCACACAGGATGCACAGGTGTTCCATGCATCTGTGTACAGCCAGTCCCATTCATGTCTACTGAGATGCAGCTGCTACAGGGACACAGCCGCTACTCCCAATTTGACAGCTGTTCAGTTGTGTCTGAATGAACACGGTCTGTGAATAGGTGAATGAGACCTAAAGGGTGTTTCCTACTGTGTACACTACACTGGACCTATGCATGTGCAGATATTAGGGTGCTCCATAGCTGCGGTTATATCTGAAGGGACGGATTCACCCCACCAAGAAAATCTGGTAAACCGCACCCGTCATTGGCAAAAGAGGAGTGTAGAAGAGGAGTGTAGAAATTGGGGTCTACTTAAAAAAAAAAAAACCCTTTTAGCGTGCCTTAACCAGCAAATAAATATATGTAACAAAACAGTTCCCATGTTATTTATGCTGATATACTATGTTTAGGGCATACCTATGTTCAGTGAAAAATACAGGAATACAAATAAGGGTCAATGCACACTAGATGCCTGAAAAAAATGTCAAAAAAAAAAAAAAGTGGCAGAAAAAAAAGCTCATAATGGCTCGTACTGCTCATGCATTTAACTGCATTTGCAATCATTTTTTTTTCAAAAACATTCCCCTTTGTTCATTTTCCACTATAATCAATTTACACTTGAAAATACTGAACGTGCTTAGATACTGTGATTATGCAAAGTCAAGCAGTTTGTTCTGCCCGGAAAACTCTCCAAAACGAAATTGTGATTTTTTTTTTTTTTTTTTTTAGCCTTTAAACGCTCCTTTTCAAAGATGCCTGCAAATGCCAAAATGTGCACGGACACATAGGCTAACAGGGTTGCTTCTACAGGCTGAAGAACAAAATGCTAAACGCCTGTATCAGCAGCCCAGTGTGTAGGAGACCTGAAGCTTTACTACATATACATTTAGGCTTCACGCACACAAGATGTTTTTGCAGCTGCTCCTAGGGGCATCTAGCATTTTTTTTCCAAGCCTCTAAACTCCCCTGCATGTTAGCCTATGTGTCCATGCATATTATTATTATTATACAGTATTTATAAAGCGCCGATAGTTCGCTCAGCGCTGTACATTACAAAGGGGGACAGAACGTGTGACAGAACAATAACAATACAATGCAAAACATGAGGGGATCGAGGGCCCTGCTCTTTCGAGCTTACAATCTAGGAGGGAGGGGAGTGGTACAGGAGGAGATAGCTGTGGGAGATGGAGTGGTAGGAAGAGTGGAGGAGGTTGGCAGGTTAGCAGGGGGTGGGGTAGGCTTCCCTGAAGAGGTGGGTTTTCAGGGTGCGCCTAAAGGAGAGGAGAGTAGGTGATAATCTGATGGGTTGGGGCAGGGAGTTCCAGAGGATGGGTGACACCCTGGAAAAGTCCTGGAGGCGGGCATGGGAGGAGGAGACCAGGGAACTAGAGAGAAGGAGGTCTTGTGAGGAGCGGAGTGTGCGTGCTGGGCGGGTACTTGGATATTAGGTCAGTGATGTAATTTGGGGCAGTATGGTGGACAGCTTTGTACGTCAGTGTTAGGATTTTGAATTTGATCCGTTGTGCAATCAGAAGCCAGTGGAGGGATTGGCAGAGGGGGGTGGCGGAGATGGAGCGGTTGGAAAGGTGAATGAGTCTGGCAGCCGTATTCAGGATCGACTGAAGCTGGGATAGCCAGCGGCGAGGCAGGCCAGTGAGGAGGGAGTTGCAGTAGTCGAGTCGTGATATGATGAGGGAGTGGATGAGCTGTTTAGTGGTTTCTGGGGTTAGGAACGTGCGGATTTTGGCGATGTTGCGGAGGTGGAGTCTACACGACTTTGTTAAAGATTGGACTTGGGGCTGGAAGGATAGGTTGGAGTCCAGAATGACACCAAGTACTCTGGCCTGCGGGGCGGGTTTGATGGTGGCGTTGTTGGATGAGATGGAGAAGTCAATGGGGGGTGGTGTCCGGGCTGGGGGGAAGACAAGAAACTCGGTTTTGGAGAGGTTCAGTTTAAGGAAGTGGAGCGACATCCAGTCTGATATGTCGCTCAGTAGGTCTGCATACAGACTTTTAGAAGAGTTTAATGACAGGAGAGTTCAGAGGCAGGAAAAGAACCCTCTGCCAGTGCATCCAGTCGCAGCAAAGTTTGGGCAGAAAAACCGCTTGACATTGTAAAAACATCTAAACGTGTGTTAACTTTAGCAGAGTTTAGCGCGCGTGAGCATTGTTTAATTTTAATATACAAAATAAATGATTTATTCTGGCCAATAAAATGAATTAATGCCCAAGAGCTTGACACTTGTAAAAGTGTTCTGACACTTTTACATGCATCAGGTGTTTTCTCTGCAAAAGCGCTGCGGGCTTCTAGGAGAGCTGCATGTGCATGAGGCCTAAAGAAATCACAAGTTTGCCAGTGGCCAGATTCTATAGTCTTTAGTGTAAACAGAAGTGAAAGTGCATGTACCATGACTGTACTGAGCTCTGCACTCCAAGCTGTCAGAAGTTTTAGTTGTAGGATCCCTACAAACCATTATAAATTGTACATATGAATCAGACAGGTGGCTTCAGACTTGGAACTACCAATGAGGTTTATACTTTCTCCATATGAGACTGCTTTGTGTCTCTTGTCATGGTAACTTGGTCACAGAAATGTCAGCAGGAATAAAATCCATGTCCTCAGTCATCCTTCCAAAAAAAAAGCAAAAAAAAACAAACACACCACGTTTTACTAAAAACATAAACCATGGGTTAAAAACATTGGCCAATTTAAGTAGGTAGATTTAAAACGTGAAGTCCACCTTTGTGACTATGTTTTATAATTGAGGTTTAACCAAAAACATTTTCATCATCTGCAGCCCCCCACCCACCCATCCACCTCCCTTACTAAATATGGGAGCTCTTCTCTCCTCGGGTCCCTGTTTTGTTTTTTTGTTTTTTTTAATTAATGTGACTGTGTGGAGCTCCACCGTGTCATCCATTCAGACAAATCCACAGCAGAGGAACTCCTAAGCCGGTCATAGATGGTTCAAATCTTGGCCAGTTCAGAAGGGACTGGCCAAGATTCAATCCACCTATGGGCAGGCTGATTGTACCTAAGTTGATCCATCGATTGACTTGGGTACAACCAGCATGTGAGATTTCTAGCATGCGATTACTGCCAGTGGCTATAGCCGCTAGCAATAATCAATTTGTTCTCCCAGCAGGGACGGCTCCCCCCATCGGGAGAACACAATAGCTCTGCGGGAGGGATCATTTAGTGTTGATGGGGGAATTGAGCAATTTTTCTTTTCTGCAACCACAGAATGAAAAAAAAGAAAATTGCATCATCTATAGCCTGCCTTAGTTCTCAATTAAATACAAGTCACCATACATGTTTTCCATTGATACTTCCTCCAGTTCCAGGACCAAAAGTCGGTACCTCTTTACAAACCTACAGCTGGAGGAATAGTCTGAATTGAGGGTTTAATTTGTTTTGCTGTCTCGAGTGCAAAGAATTGACAAATTAACTTTTTTTATTTTTATTGTGGGTGCATCAAATGCAGTGCAAAGTAAGTCATAAACTAATCAATTTTCTTTCCTTCCACCACGGGTGGAAAGAAAGAAAATCACACAATTGCCCCATCAATACAGTCAGTGTTGATGAGGGAATGCCTCCTGCATTTTGTATTCTGCAGGCAGAGGATCATGGGGAGCCTTCCCCGCTGGCAGAATACAATGATTACTGCTACAGGCTATATCCATTGGCATTAATCACATGCAGGAAAACCCGGCAGGCTGGTTATACCCTCTCGATCGATGGATCGACTTGAGTACAATGATTTTACCCATAGATGGATTGAAACTTGTCTGATCAAGGCTGAACCAGCCAAAACTTCAATCCATGTATGGCTGGCTTAAGCCTTCAACCAAACATGATGGTTAGATTTACATCTAGTATTGAGCTAAAGTTTCAAAACAAAGTAGCACTGCTAATTACTTATCAGTACTGGAGTACCTCAGATGCTCTAATGCTTAGAGTACTCTATTATGCAGATCTTGGTTTTACCTAGAAAGAGGCCCCCTCCTGGCTCCAAATATATCTTACAGATCTATCAGTGTCGTCAACCTACCTGAAATTGGGGAAGTAGGAGGGGCAGGACCAAGAACCAACTTTTTGGAAGAAGTATCACTAATAAATGCTACTTGTTTGGGGGTCTTGAGGCAATAAAGCTAGTGCAAGAATTTCCGAATAACCTACAGTAACCCCACAGTTGCAGTACAATTTCATAAAGGTCAGTACAGGTGACCATAGGCTGCTTATTGTAATCAATACTGGTGATAGTCATACCCATTCATCATCTTCTGCGCCATCACCTTGGCCCCGGGGTTCAGGAACAGGAGCGCTGCTGCAAGATTTGTTGGCCATAATGTTGTCTGTCCAAGATGCCCCAGTTTGAGAATCCCCAGCAAAATTGCACTTGGTCACTGTACCACTGTCAACTTTTGCTAAAGAGACTAAAAGAGAAAAACACCACAAATATGAAACAAAGTAGTTGTTATAATATTGTCACACAACATTTCTCTGGTTCCTTTAGAACACGGGTCTCCAAACAACGGCCAACAGATCACATCCGGCCTGCTAAGAGATTTTATCTGGCCCGCAGCTAGAATCAGTGGCATATCCTCAGACTTGGTGCACAGACTGATGATTCAGATCTGTTGGTCTCCACTTCTGATGGGGCCCCTACAGTAAAAGGTGGGGGGGACTCTGATAGAAACTGATATGTAAGAGGGGCCATGAAGTGATGGGTGGCTTTTGATGTGATGGGGTGGATTTGGAAGTGAAGAGAGATTCCCATGGGGACCCTAATGTATGAGGGAACTCTGATAGGGATCCAGATATAAGGAGGAGCCTCTGACATGTAACAGAGACTATGAGGTGGTGGGGGGCTGTGAAAGGGGAACTCTGATACAAAAGGGGGCAGGTTCTGATGTGATGAGGCAACTTCTGAAGTGAAAGGGGGACTCCAATTGGGATCTGATGAAAATGGGACCTCTGATAGAAACCCTGATGTAAGAGCGGACTTTGATATGTAAGAGGGGCCATGAATCGATGGGTGGTTTTTAATGTGATGGGGTGGATTTGGAAGTAAAGGGAGATTCCCATGGGGACCCTAATGTAAGGAGGAACCTCTGAAATGTAACAGAGATTATGAGGTGGTGGGGGGCTGTGAAAGGGAAACTCTGATACAAAGGGGGCAGGTTCGGATGTGATGAGGCAACTTCTGAAGTGAAAGGGAGACTCCAATTGATGGAGAGGATTATGAAATGAACGGGAGACTCCCATGGGGACTTCAAAATATGGGGACACTGTGATTGGGAGCCAGACGTAACGGGGGATTCTGATGTGATGGGGATAGGTTCTGATGTGATGGTGAGACTTCTGAATTTAAGGGGGGCCTATAATAGGGAGCCTGTTGTATTGGGGGACCTCTGATAGGAAGCCTGATGTATGGGGGACCTCTCATAGGAGACTGCTGATATGTAAGGCAGTCTATGAAGTGATGGGGGGCTTCGGATTTGCAATGGAGACTGATGTGATGGAGACTTCTGATGTCATGGGGGCCTTTGACATGATGTTATTTCTCGTAGTCTGCTTTTTCATTCAATTTAGTTATATTCACTCATTTATAAAACTGACTTTTTTGGCCTGCAAATTATTGTGACCCTCATACTGAAAAATTCAGAGAACACCGATTTAGAATATACTACTCATTGCTTCTAAATACAGTACACATAGGATTACAGAGTGCTGTCAAAAGTGTCCACCAAGGACAAAAACTTTTTTTCTGCAGTACAGTATAATAGATTTTACAGCTGGCCATATACTGAAAGATTTTTCATTCAGCTTGCAGGTTGAATGATATAAAGCTGACAGATTCCTCCATCCACACTACACAGTGTGCAGATGAACAAATATCCCACTGTGCCCCCTGTATTCTGGCAGCCAGTCCCTAATCAGTTGCCAACAATTTGTCAAATGGGAGGAAACCAACAGAGGACCCACTAAATTCATACAGTGTATGGCCAATTTAAGCAAAGTTTGTGTGTGTTCTGTTACAGTTGTATTTCATTATATGCACAGCCATACAACACCAAACACACAGAAAATGAAAAGGCAAAACAGCAGCAGCTACAACAGGTCACATGGGACTGATTCGTTAACAAGGGAAATGAAAAAGAGCAAACTTGTTGGCAGCAGCATCCTGCCAAGTGTTACCTTCAATTTATAGAGAAAAAGAATTCTATTCTGGGCTAGTTTCCTTTTCTCAAAATTTAGCAAATCAACCCCAGAACAATGACATCAATTTTCTGAATTTGTTGGTACTGTGAAATGTGCCATTATATCTGGACTCCAATAGCAGAAGAAACAATGGAACCGCACTTATGGGAATTCTAATCTTACAAATGATTTCAGCCGCTGTTGTATTTCTGACACCCCTAAAAAGCAGAAAAGCCAGATCAGTGGCCGCAGTTTTCTCCATTGCAACAAAGCAGCCAGTGATTGGATAGTGAGGAGCAGCGGCTGAATGATGAGATTCTCATATACTGTAAGCATGTTTGGAAAAAAAGACTTTTTCCAAACATGCTTACAGTATATGAGAACCTCTGTAAGAGGGTAAACCTCTTCTCAGTGCCTCCTGACGGGTCTATAAGTGGGCTTTCACACCAGGAGGAAAAGCAGCTTCCTTTGTCCACTGGCCCCCGATCACAACCTATGACAAATAGGATACTTTGAGCACAGAACCTCACACCACTATGGATGCATGTGTGTGTTGGCTGGGCATTAAGGCCATTTTTTTTCTGCCCCTGGAGAGATGTATACCACACACACACACACACACACACACACACACACACACACACACACACACACACGAAAAGACAAATAAAAAAAAAATATACCCTTATTGCGACATCACTGCCCCACCTCTTCCAATCAGAAAACACTTTGCATTCTTAGAGAAAATGCAGCATGTTCCCTGAATGGTGTCCGTGCCGAGTGACCTCCTGTGTTCAATAAACTGGCATGGGTCCTGGAAACTAGTGGAGATCACTGTAGTAGTGGTACTTGATACTATCATTTCCAGCTTCCATGGGAATCCCACAAGTATGGTATCTGCATAGTTACATTGGCCCAAGTTGGATCAACATAGTAGCCATACAACTAGAGATTTTTTCAAGAATAGTTCAGCAAAAGCAGCCCTTGTATTTTCTCAGTACGTTTATTTAAAAGAGAAGTGTGGGTTTAAAAACACACACATCGATCCGATACTGCATCTGCCCCCCACTGTTTCTGTTCCGAGAACTGAGCGATCAAACACTGCTGACAGCTCAGTTGAACAGAGAGACCGTGACTGTCAGTCACCCCTCTCTGCTCTTCCCCTCTAGCGCTCACTGAAACGCCAGACTGTGGAGGGGGTGGGAGCAGCTGCCGGTCAGACATGGGCAGATCCCAACATTATTGTCGGGATCCCTAAAGAGCCTGGACTGGCTCTATGACATCAGCCGACAGCAGACTTTAGCCCACTGTCGAACAAATACAGGTCACAGTAGTGCAGAACTAAGTGCACTCTTGGTGACTCACATGAAAAGTATGGCCAAAAGAATGGATGTCATATTGCTCGTTTACACTCAACTGTGCTTAACGTCATGGCATAGAACAGAAAAAAAATTAAAAAAAAACCTACATAAAAATGGTCCGTCACCAATTGTCTTCACCCGTAACTGCTCCCCGATCTCCAGTTCAGTTTTCTCCATCTCAGCTTCAGGGAGCCAGAAGGCCACCGTGTCCTTGGGAAGATATTTATCACTAATTCTTGTTAGCTCCTCTTTGTTGATGAGACTCTTCAGCTCCTCTATTGAGAGTTTGTCAGTTTCACCTTTTGCTTCCACCTCTGAAGACAAAAAATCTGTCATCAATAACCAACACAGACATTTTTTATCCTCATGCATGCAGGATTATGAAAAGCAGCGTAAAAAAAAACTCGTCTGATGTTACAATATGTACGGAAGTTTATGGCATTTAAGCGTAAATGCATTCTACTGGCCCATCCATACACGATTCTTTAAAGCGAGTTTCCAGCCATCACAATACACTCATCAACACCACCAGCTATAGTCAGTGGCCATGATCGAGGGAAAACTTTCCAACAAGCAGCTTTACAGAAGTTCCTGTCCCTGCCTGTAGCCATGCCCCTGCTGACGCACTTCACCTGGATGGAGCTTAGCCAGAGAGATACGACTCAGCCTATTCCAGGTGAAACGTGGCTACAGGTATGAACGGTCAGTGTGCAAGGAGTGAATAAACCTTTGGAGGATTGATGTCAGTGTGTGGCCGCTTTTGTTTGGACTTGCAAAGTGCTGGTGCGAGGATGGGCTCCCATGGCCAGCACCTTTTACACCTCGAGCCACAGGGGCTGAGTGGCGTCCTATACAGACTGCCTCAAAATGGTCATGGACCATAAACTGCAATCTGCAAAATTGCAAGTAAAGAATGCTTGAGGCACAGGCCAAATGCAGAAAAAAATTAAACCAAGTGTAGAAGATCTTCTACAGACAGAGGGAGGTGAAGAACACTCACCCCCGGTTCACATCTATGCGGCCGTGCGGGCCCCGTTTTGCGCGGACACTAGAGCACATTGATTTGAATGGACTCCCGTGCCCAGTGACACGCACGGAAGAAGTCCCTGCAGTTCTTCTGAAAACGCAGCCCGCACCTCGCTTCCCAGTACGGTTTTGTTTCCTAGTGCGGGCAGCGTGCCATTAGAACTACTGGCACCCACCTGCGGGTCTGCATTCTTCTGTACGGGTGGTGCGGCTGCATGGATCCGCAGCTGCACCACCCGCACATATGTGAACCTAGCCTGAAACTGACTGTGCACAAGGGGGGCCTAAAGTACAGCTGCATTTTACTAAATAGAGTAGTTCGTACTTGTCACTGCAACCTGTGAAAAAATGTCAATAATGGAGGTTACCTTTATGGCTCATTCACACAATCTGTGGTGACCTAAAATTTCCCACACTGAATAAATGGCATTCACCTCTAGGGCACACAGAAACCAATTGTTTTCTATGCGCCCGTTCACACCTGGAATGGCATTGCATGTCACCGCACAGCAGCGCAATGCATCAGACTGCTGTGCAGTGACATTTAAAAAAAAAAAAAAAGGAAGCAGTGCACTGAAATGGAGTTCACCGTTCTCTGCCAAAGCTGACATGACACTAGCCTGCATGGAAAAATACCAAGCCTAATCAATAGACAATGAGTGCGAAGATGTGCTGCACTAAGTACAGCCCTTTCACACTCCTAATAAAGTTTTAAAAAAAAAAAAAAAAACACAAAACTAGCCCACACTGTAAAACACTGAATTTTACCATGCAGGCCAGTGTGAACCTAGCCTGAGGCATGCCATAGACCATGCAAATTTCTTTCCTGCAACTACCGAGCCATTGTGAAGACCGTGATTGTCGCTAGTGGCTATAACAGCTGCTAGAGATATCACATGTAAAAAATCTGGCATGCTAGTTGTACAAAAGCTGATAAATCAACTTGGATACATTCAGCCTGCCCATACATGGTTCAAGCTCAGCAGATCCCTGCTGAACCGGCCAATATTCAAACCGTCTATGGTCAGCTATAAGCTGGCCATAGATGGACTGATAACTGGCTGGTTCAGCACAGACAGGCCGAATTTTGTTCCATCTATGAGCAGTCAATAGAGAGAAGTTGATCTCTCTATTGACTTCTGTATAACCAGCCTGTTGGAAATTTTTCACTCGACCAGTGCACAGGGTATAGTGTATTCTCATGGTAGGGAACTCTCCGCACCATCATAATACAATAGCTCAGCAGGAGGGATTCCCCCCATCCACCTCGAATGTGGGGATGGGGGGTGGGGGGTGGGGGGGGGGTGGATTCATTTTTTTTCGTTCAACCTGCTGATTGAACAGAAGAACATGAATCATGTATGGCTCGCCTTAATGAAGATAAATCTTATTTCCAGCAGCTTGGTTCTGTGCTCACATGCATCTTTGCTGTTCCTGATCATCTCCACGGGGTGGCTGGATATGGGAGACCTGCCCTGCACTGGAATGAATAGCAATCCATCTCCCTGGAGCAGATTTTACACAGCACAGAGAAATGTATTCAGAGTCAGGAGGCTGCAGGTAACATTGCTAGAAGCAGGACTGTCATGTAGGCGACCAATCATACTGACACTTTTATATAGGCTGCAGGGAAAAGTGTTTTATGTTTAGTGAAGTGGAAATACAAATTACATTTCAGGCATCTCTAAGAAAAGGTCGTTTCATTTTGGTGAAATACTTTAAAAAGGCTCCCCTGAAAAGAATGCAGATGCTGCAGGTTCTCTCATTATACAATGAGATTGATACTGGAGGCAGATCCCTCATTCTGTTATGAATTTCAGGACTTGGGAAAGCAAGCATGATTTAAAGTGGAATTAAACTCCAAACCAAAAACAATGTAACAATTCTTAGATGTGATGGCTTCATTCGTTTTCTTTTAGTTTTTTTTTTCCCGTTTATTTTCACCTGGTGATTTTGCCAGTAACTTATCCTTTAACCCCTTGACGTCGACATCACACAAATATGCAGCCTCACAGAACTGGGCTTTTTTCCATGGGGCCATATATTTGCGTACCTGTCTTTGTGCTGTGAGCGCGCCGCACTGTGCTCTCCCAGCACAAAGACTGCGGTGTCACTGAGAGCCCCGGGTCCCGTTCTAACGATCAGGACCTGGGACTCCCGATTCCGGGTCACATGATCGCCTCCGATTGGCTATCACAGTGATCAGTCACTGCAGCCCAACCCCCCTTGTTTTTTTCTCTCTCTCTATGAATGGAGAAGAGAGATACATTGTATCTCTCGAACTCCTGGCATAGAGAGAAAAAAAAGTTTGTAAAAAAAAAATAAAAGAAAAAAAAAAGAAATAATTATTAAAAAATAAAAATAAAGAAAAAAAAAAAAAAATCAAGGTTTGATCTAGTTCAGTGCCAGAGTTATTGTTTGGGTCAGGGTCAAAGGTCAGGATTTAAAACAAAATTGGTATCACTTAGTGTCAATATCAGTGTGTTTTAGGTTAAAAAAAAAACAAAAAAACAAAAACAAAATGTGCACTATTGTTTCTGGGCAGTACTACGGGTACAAATAACATACACATATATGGTGTCGCTGCGATCGTCAAGAGCTGGAGAATTTTGGGTTGTTCTTTGATGGTAGGTTATGGTAGTAACAAGAAACACACAGCTAAATAAAAAAAACCTTTTTTTTTTACTATTTTGGGCCAGTTTTCTTTTGATAATAATAAAAAAAAAAATCAGGAGATATCCATTACCATTTACCACCAAATGAAAGCCCAATTTGTCTGAAAAAAAAAACCGCGGTATAATTCATCTGCATATACAAAGTAGTTGTGATGATATGTACAGTTTTACTAACACATGTCAACGTTGCAAAATTGTACTTAGGTGTTTAGATTTGTTTTACCTTTAGGCGTGAAGGGGTTAAACTTCAACGGCTGGAGAGACAAAATCTCTGCCAGTTAGGACACTGTATTTAAAGAGTTAGACCTTGCTTTTACAGATAGGAAACAGAAAATCACAATCATTGTTCAGAATTACTAAGCAGGAAGTGGAGCCTGCATATGTCATAAATCATGGTAGGGGGGCTGGAGCGCTTCTGACTCCTTCAGTTGTGTGTTTAAAGCAGAATTCCAGCATAAAATATTAAGATAAATAATAGCCAATTCGTGAATAGCCCATTAGAAGATAAAATAATAAAACCAGCTTTTGCTGCAATGGCTTAAATTCAAAGTTTTCCCCTCAGTATTTATTTCTGCCACTAGATGTTCTAGGTGGCTAGCAACATTCTTCCTCTGAGCCCAGGTTATCTTGGACCAGTTTCAGCTTGTGACTGGACAGCGAAGGGAAAAGCAGCACAGTGATGAGCTCATTTTATGTCACACTGCTCTCTCCTCCTATCAGCATACTTCCTGTCAACACATGAATTGGTTGCTTCCTTGTATTGCCAATTCTTCTCACACCTCAGCCCTGCTGTACAGGTACTGCAAGATATTGAAAGCAACTCATATTCAAGTACTTGCATTGCTTCTATTTAAAAATAATAAATGTAATGATATAGTAATGATTACACAGCTGCAATAATTTGCCTCTGCCTAGAGTTCAGCTGCCTACATAGCATGGCAGCAAAGAGGGTGAGCTGTAATGTCCATATGCTGCAAATATGAAGTGAAGTGTGAAGTTGCACGGGGTGATTTCTTTTAATTAATTGTATTACACTAGATTATTTATATTTTTTTTTTTTGAGGTACGTTTTTGGATGGAATAGAGATCAACTTTCATATTTTGAAGAAAAAGATTGGAATTTTGGACACGTTTTTTGGACTTATTGTGGGATTTATTCATTTTTTGGATTTACTATTGGACACTTTGGATTTGGGGAATTTTTGTATTTTATTTTCATTTTATATGTTATATTTTTGGTATATATTTGTGATTTATTTATTTTGGGAATTTATTATATCACAAAAAGGTTTTATATTTTATTACACTTTCTAGGGTGGAAGGTATTAACTTTTTGAGGGTAGAAAAAAGGAGGGTACATATTTAATTAGTTATGCGCCCATGGGCAGCAGGGCTTTGGTGCTGAGAGCACCCAATATAGTGACCAAGCTTTCAGACAGCTCTCAGTCTCTACTAATAATTGGAAGCCTGCAGGACTGTCTCCCTATCAAGTGACAGCCACTAAGAGTGGCCATATAACCCTGCTCCTCCTGGCAGAAAGACCATGTTGCCCTCCGCTGCGTTACTTTAACCGACAATTGCGCGGTCATACAACACTGTACATAAATAAAATGTATGTTTTTTTTCCCCCAAAATATATCTTTCTTTCGGTGGTATTTGATTCCCTCTGCGGTTTTTATTTTTGTGCTATAAATGAAAAAACACTGACATTTAAAAAAAAAACCTATTACATTTTACTTTCTGCTATAAAACATAGCCAAACAAACCAACAAGTTTCTTCATAAATTTAGGCCAAAGTGTGTTCTGCTATATATTTTTGGTAAACAAAAATCCCAATAAGTGTATATTGATTGGTTTGTGCAAAAGTTATAGAGTCTACAAACTATTGCATGTAAACTGGAGTTTTTTTTTTTTTATACTAGTAATGGCGACGATTAGCGACTTATAGTGGGACTACGATATTGCAGCCGCCAGTCGGACACTAACTGACACTGTGAGAACCAGTGACACTAATACAGTGATCAGTGCTAATAATATACAGTACACAGTCACTGTATTAAATGACAATGGCTGTGAAAGGAATAACAGCTAGGGCAATCAAAGGGTTAAATATGCGACTAACCAGTGTTTTACTATGTACTGTGAGGCATTTTTACTAAAAGAGGTGCTGGATTGCATTCGCTGCTTTGCAAGGAATGACAATGCAGCACATTGCTGGTGACAGGACACAGCTCTGCCTCGTTTACATAGGCAGAGCTGAGTCCAATCATTCCTCAATGATCAAGGGGTGGCGGTGTTCACCTATTGGACGACACCTGTTGATCGGCTTCTGTTGTGTGAAATCACAGCAGAAGCGGCGCTCTGGCGGCGCGCGTGCCCCCTATAGCGGAAGTGCAAAATCATGTTTATATACGTGATTTTGCACAGAGGCAAGAAGATTGATGGCAATGGATGGTATGTATTTTATGGGGTTTTAGTAACAGTGTAGTGTGGTATATATGAATATACGTGTCATATACACGTATATTTCATACATAACACTGGAAGAACTGCAACTTTATTTCATTTTATGATTTTTATTTCAGAATGAGAAATTTCTTGATTCTACAATATTGGCTTTGCTGACCACAAACATCACACTTTCCTAAACGGAATCTCTGTAACCTCAAGACTACACCAAGTATTCTGTGCTTAGCCTTGTTTTTTGGGTTGGCGTGTTTATTTGCAATGTGATTGAGAGAAGGTAGGGCAGCCCATCAGACCAGCCAATCCGGCAAAACAAAAATCCAGGACTTCCAGTTCTACAAACTCAGGGATCTCTCACACATAGGGGGTTATTTAACAAAGCGTGAGAGTGCAAAATCTGGTGCAGCTGTGCATGGTAGCCAATCGGCTTCTAACTTCAGCTTGTTCAATTAAGCTTTGACAATAACCCTAGGTTCACATCTGTGTGGGTGGTGCCGCTGCGGATCGGCACGAAAATCTGTGCAGCCACACCACCCGCACAGAGAAATGCGGACCCGCGGGCGGGTGCCATTAGTTCTAATGGCAATCCGCCCGCATTGGAAAACGCAACCGTACTTGGAACCAAAGTTTTCCAAAGAAGTGCAGGGACTTCTTCCCTGCGTGTCAGGGGCATGGGAGTCTATTCAAATGAATGAGCTCTTGTGCCCGTGCAAAACGCGGCCCGCGCTGCCGCATATATATATGAACCAGGGGTAAATCCTGGAAACCGATTGGTTTTTATGCAGAGCTGCATCAGATTTGCACTCTCAAGTTTTAGTAAATAACCACCAAACTGCGGTGACAGGCGTTCTATCACACTGGACAAAACCAATCACTGCTAAGCAAATCGAAAACTATTGTTTTCCATGTGCCCCGCTCACACTGCAACACAGATGGGAGGTGAGGTGGCGTGCGGGTGAACGGCGGTAAAATGCAATCACGTAGCATTTTACCGCCTTGCACACAAAGCCACCATGTCACTGCGCTGCTGTGCAAAGACATAAAAGAAATGCCATCTTGTGAAACTTCAATTAAAGCTTAAAAAAAAAAAAAAAAAAAAAAAAAAAAAAAAAAATTAAGTAAAGAGCGAACAGTGCACTGTGCAGAAATAGACATCACACCATCCCTCTCACCACAGCTCACTGCTAGTAAATGACAGCTCACTGCTAGTAAATGACAGCTGCCCGCATGCTCAGGTGGGGCATTTAGCGTATAAGCAGTATGAATGAGCCCTCAATAACAGCAGGAAATGTGTTCAAACCTAATCAAAACATAACACCTACTGTAAGAAGACAAGAGGAAGCCGGTGTTCACTTTCTTCGTGTCGCTGAAGTTGGGCTCAATTTCATTTCCTTTACTGTCAAACTTCCTCCGATGTATTCTGCCAGGCGTCAGATAGACAATATACCACCGTTCCTAGAAAAAAAAAAAATTTTGAATTTTCATTTACAAATATACCTGTAAAATATTGCAACTTAAAAGGCGGCATAATCACTGGGGCATCAAAAGGTGTCTTACAGTTCTGTTTTCTTTAGAACGCAGCCACAGACTTAGTACAAAAGCCTGTACCTTTAAGCCCTTGCCTACCGGGACTTGTACTCCCTTCCTGCCGAGGCCAATTTTCAGCTTTCAGTGCTGTCGCACTTTCAATGACAATTGCGCGGTCATGCAACACTGTACCCATATGAAATTTGTATCATTTGTTTCACACAAATAGAGCTTTCTTTTGGTGGTAAAACGCCATTGCGCTATAAACAAAAAAAAGAGCAAAAAATTTGGGGGAAAAAAAATTTTTTTTTTTTGTTTCTATTATAATTCTAATTTTGCAACCAGATAATTTTTCTCCTTCACTGATGTGCGTTGAGGCTGCACTGATAGGTGGTACGGATAGGCAGCACTACTAAGCACTGATAGGCGGCACAGATAGGCAGCACTACTAAGCACTGATAGGCGGCACAGATAGGCAGCACTACTAAGCACTGATAGGCGGCACAGATAGGCAGCACTACTAGGCACTGATGGGCACAGGTGGGTAGCACTGCTGGGCACTGATCATTAGGATTATAAAATTTTGCAAACAGGTAATTTTTCTCCTTCACTTATGTGCATTGATGAGGCTGCACTGATAGCAACACTGATGGGCACTGATCAACAGTGCCGATCTGTTTTCTGACAATTGCTGGTTGTTGGCAGTACGTTCCTCATGCTGTGACAGCGTGAGGAAAGTGCAGCTGACAACCAGCAACTGCATTTACCCGGTGATCTGCGGTGTCATTGGACAGAGCTGATCACGTGGTAAAAGGCCGCTGTAATTGGCCTTTTACCACATCACGTGATCAGCTGTGCCCTTAGGACACAGAGATCACAGAGATCGCCTGCCGGGTGCACGCCGCTGGGGGTGCGTTCTGGGAGGACGTCATGACGCCTTCCCAGAACTGGATAACCACGTTGTAGCCATCATTCGGCTATAGCCCGGTTGTCAAGTTGTTAAGGAGGGATGGGCTCCTCCAGGCACACCTGCCCTTAACCTATCCATTTATACATGTGCTCCCACTATGGAGGCTTTGGAAGTTTTCGTTAGGTCCAGAGTATACAGAGGACACTCGATGCGGGACTGTGGCTTACGCATGTATTTGCAAACGTGTGCAAACAAAACCCTCTGTTTTTAACGCATACTGTTAGACAAGGCCAAATTGGTTGTTTCGCAAGCTGGCTGGTAAGTGTTGCTGGGAAATCTTTTTGTTTGTCTTGCGATGAGTACAAAAGCTTGTCCACTGCATGCATGCTGTACAGAGCAGCAGTCTCTCTGCAAAGGTCCAACATGCCCCCTGCTGAGTCAGACCTATAACTCTGAAATCGTCAAAACTCCTGTTCCCTACTGATTAGAGAACACTAGGTCTGCATTAGCAGGGGAGTGTGTCAGACCTCTGAAGAGAGACCACTGCTTCCACCCAGGGTACAAGGGCTTTCTTTTAATGCTCAGGCTGTTGCTACTTTCAAACAAATTGCTCACTGCTATCTCCCAGTAAAAAGACTGCGCTGTCTAAGACAGGTCTCTAGTAATGATCAGGAGCCAGTGGGATCAACTCCTGATCATGTGACCACTGACCGCCAATCACAGTGGCCACATGATTATGCAGACCTTCCCTAATAGCCCAGTTAAAGAGATGCCAGGGCAGCAATGGGTTAAAGTGACCCTGTCACTATTTTGAAAACCTGAAATGCTCTTCCCCTGAAAAACGAATATCTTACGGTCTTACACCTATGAGCTCGTTAGGGTTGTAGAATTAAGCTTGCTCTAAGGCTAGATTCGCACCTGAGCCAAGCAATTTATAGGAGATTCCAAGCATCTAAATGAGTATATCTGATGCGTATTTCAGCCATTTACATTTAATCCTGCTTTAGGCATATTTGCTTTAGTTGAGGAAAAAGCAGTAGTAGGGAGAGTAGACCAGTTCTTACATGCTCAAAATACGCCTGAAAAAAACATGCAAAAGAACTTTCATTTTGTGTGTGTTTACAGGTGCTCCCATAAAAAACATTATGGGGCCAAAAAAACAATTCTGTTTCAAAAGTAACAGGCAACTGAGTGTTCATATGTTAAACAGCCACAATTTAAAAACATAGGACTTTGTTTGTAGAGCATCCTGGAACTTTTACCTTCATGTTATGAATGGAGCCCAAGATCTTTATCTAGCACATTTTCTGGTGCGTCAGATGTCTGGTCCCCTGCTGTGCGTTGTGGTTCCTCCCACCAGCCCTGCGTTCTCTAGTGATGTGGCAGCCAGTGGAGGAAACCACAGAACACAGTGGGGGACTCCAGCATCTGACATTCCCAGAGGTGTTGAATGCAGAAGATCTATAAAAGGGAGTTTCCTTCTTCAATACAGAAAAGTTCAGCACTGGGGGCTGATCAGGGAGGACGGCGTTTCAATTTTTCAACTGGAATTATTATTATTATTGCTACAGGTATTTACATAGCACCGACAATTTACACAGCGCTTTACACTTTGTACATTCACATCATGCCCTTTGCACAAGAAGCCTACAATCTAAGGTCTCTATCACACAAACTAGGACAGGAGCGAATTAACCCACCAGCATGTCTTTGGAGTGTAGAAGATAAAAAGAGTACCTGACAGGCAAACCACGCAAGCACAGGGAGAGAAATATGCAAACTTCATACAGATAGGGGTCTATTTTTAAAACATTCGTTGGACGATTGTCTCACACATACGTGCATGTTGCATGAATTCTGGCAGTACTTTCTTTAATACTCTTTACTGTCCAATGCCCTCTAATGCAGACCATAGATGGGTCAAAAACTGTCAGTTTTAAAAAAAAAAAAAAAAAAGGAAAAATTGGTCGTTCAATAGGCCGAAAAAAAAATCAGCTGATTTTCGTCCCATCTACGGCCGGCATTTAATTACTTCTGTCCCTGCAGAGAGCTCCGCTATTATATTTAACATTAAAAAGTATAGCGGTTGCAACATTGTATCTATTTCAGATACAGATGTTTTTATTTGGATACAAATAGATACATTGTTGCAACCGCAATACTTTTTCATGTCAAATATAATAGCGGACTGGAATAATTCTTATTTTTCTTCACGGCTCATGCGCAGATTTTTTATCAGTAAAAAGATCGGCCGATTTGCCCATCATTGCCGCGAAAATCGGATGATCGGCAAAATCGGCCAATTTTTTTCCAACTTTACCGATAAAAAAAAAAGTGCCAAAATCCAGAAAAACGGCCGACCAATTAACCCATTAACGGTGCGAAAATCGGCCGATTTCTTTTCCGGCCAAAAAATCGGCCGATTTTCGACCCATCTAAGGCCTGCCTGACTGCTGGGTTGAACGAACCTTGTTCAAAAGACCTTCTGCATCTGGCACACTTCATCTGGTGTGTGTCAAATGTCTGGTCCCCTGCTGTGCAGCCCCATGTCCTGTAGTAACTTGGGGGTCAGTGGAGGAAACCACAGAGAACAGCAGTCCCAAAGTGTTAAATACAGAAGATCTATAAAAGAAATTCCTACAACTCAGAGGAGTTCGGCACTGTAGCCTTTTCAGAAAAAGACTGCTTCAACTTTTCAATAGGAGAGATTATTACAAAGTTATTCAGCGCTTTACATTATTATTATTATACAGTATTTATAACGCGCCGATAGTTCGCTCAGCGCTGTACATTACAAAGGGGGACAGAACATGTGACAGAACAATACCAATACAATGCAAAACATGAGGGGATTGAGGGCCCTGCTCTTTCGAGCTTACAATCTAGGAATACTGTACATTCACACCAGGACCTACAGTCAAGGATCTTACGATCTAAGGTCCCTATCTCATTACATACAGATACTAAGGCCAATTAGGAAAGCAGCAGATTAACACATTAACATGCTTTTGGGGTGTGGGCGTTAACGAGTATCTGGAGAAAAAACTCCATGTAATAACAGAGAAACAAAAAATACAAACTCCATACAGATACGGGTCTATTTATAAAATATTTTGTTGAACAAATATTGCACACGTTCGTGCAAACTGCATTAATTTTGATCACAATTCCTCTAATAGTTTCCTATGATCATCGGCTCCATCTAGTGGCCAAAATGTGGTATAGTTTTCAGAAATGAACTACATTTTGGCCACTAGATGGCGCAGACGACCATAGAGGATTACTCTATTAGAGAAAGTAAAGTCAAAATCCATGTAGCATGCAAGGTTTTATAAACAGACCCCGTTTAGTGACTGATATTTGAACTGGTGAAAAAAAAAAAACCTTTTTAGTTTAGCTTGAAATCTATCACAGAAAATGTTTTTATGTCTTTTTGACTGTGCAATTCTTTTCCCCAAGTATACTGGAAATAGCGATTAAAAAAAAAAAAATATTCGTTATCACAGAGGGTGTGCTATTTGTGAAAGACAGCAAATGTGTTGCTTATGTTTTTGTTCAACTCCGACAGCCTCTGTCAAATACTTTGTAAAAACGTCTCTGAATACAACTAGGGAAGGATTGTGGCAGACGTTCCTTCAAAAAAAGAAAATCAGCCGACATACGCACTGTGAAAAAGACATGTTATCAGAAACGTGAACATCCATCTGCTTCCATTCTCACTCGGTTGTATCAGCCTTGGAAATCACAGTTGTCTCTGTGCGCACTGAAACCTTCGCCAGACTAAAAGACGGCAGTCTACCTGCAGAGTCCTAAACCACAGCAGGATGTCTGATCCCGCTTCCCGAAAAGCGGTTTTGTTTTTGCGAAGCTTCAAGAATGTATTTTTATCTCTGAACACGAACTAGATTGCAGCCATCTCGGGTTTAATATCTCTGTCAAATCCTACTTCTGTTGGGTTTCAGATGTTCTCAAAGTCACAGAATTAAAGTTATTTATTCCACATAAAAAGGACGGACGA